GTCCCGCCCTCCCCTCCAGCCCGGGTGTGGAGGCCTGAGGACCAGGTCGGCTGAGACGGTCCCTGAGCTGCACCCGGGCCCGAGGCGGGGGACCCTCCCTCGTTCCTGTCGCTGTCCCCCGGCCACACTCACCCACAATGTCCCGTTCCAGCCTCAGGCCCCTGGACATCGAGTTCATGAAGCGCCTAAGCAAGGTGGTCAACATCGTCCCGGTCATCGCCAAGGCCGACACGCTGACCCTGGAGGAGAGGGTCTACTTCAAACAGCGGGTAGGGCTCCCCCTCCACCCGGCCACCGGCCCCCAGCCCTCACCCCTCGGCGGGAGTGAGGCCAGTAAGAGCCGTTGGACACAACAGGCCAGGTTTTTATTAGAAGAGAGAGTCAGAAAGGGACAGTCTCTGCCCAAGGGACATGTGGTCCCCTCTTCCTCTGCCAAGGCCCCGGTGCCAGCTGTGTGGGGAGGGTGTCTGAGCAGGAGGGCAACCCTGGGCCGCGTCTTCTTAACAGGGCCACATGTCAGGACCACCTGGGAACTTGAAACCCGGGTACTAGGACCAGCACAGCCTGTGTCGCAAGGGTCGTGAGTGGGAGGCACTTCCATCTCATCCCCACGCTCGGGCCCAGGTGCCTGGGATTTTCCCAGCATGCTTAGGGCAGGACAGTCCCCTTAAAATGGGATTGTCTGTGGAGGGGAGGAATCAGAAGCCCCCGTGCAGCACACGGCCTGGGTCTGTGCTCGGGGCAGAAATGACGGCTGTTTGCTGGATGCGGCGATTGAACATCTGTGCTGGGCATCTGTCACTGCAGAGGGTGGTGACAGTTTAACACAGCAGGTCCACCCTGGGCTGCAGGAGGGGCCCCTGCAGGCATTCGGGGCCACAGTGAGAGGAATTCTAGGTGTAGAGCTCAGGAGGGGAGGAACCAGCAGTCCCGAAAGACAAGGAGACACTTGGGACAATGACCCGAGTCCCTGGGGCAGTCGCAGGTCTCCTGGACGGCAGGTCTGCAGCTGCCCCTCCACTGGGGAGGCATAAGAACTGGAGAATGTCAAGGTCACCAGCCCCCAAGAGCCCACCCTTGACCCCGAGCCTGGGGCCACTGACACCGTGGAGGTCACGGCAAGGGCAGATACCACCAGGCAGGTCCGGCTTGCCGCATGGACGGTGCCCACACCTCGCCCCTCTGCACCCCCAGATCACCGCCGACCTGCTGTCCAACGGCATCGACGTGTACCCCCAGAAGGAGTTTGATGAGGATGCCGAGGACCGGCTGGTGAACGAGAAGTTCCGAGTGAGTGAATCACCCTGGGCTCTGTTCCCGCCCAAGGGTGTGGGCTGGGGTCTTCCTGCCCCATCCAGGGGCCTGAGGGAAATGGCGGGATGGCCTCGAGCCATGAGAACATCACTCTCTGGGCTGGTAGGGGTGGCAGCCCGAGTGTCCACAGCGGCCCTCTTGGCTGCGGGGCCCCAAGCTCCGGACAGCGCCTCCCGGGGGCCCTCGTGTGACCCGCGCCACCGGCCCCTCCCCCAGGAGATGATCCCGTTTGCCGTGGTGGGCAGTGACCACGAGTACCAAGTGAACGGAAAAAGGATCCTTGGCAGGAAAACCAAATGGGGCACCATTGAAGGTAAGTGCCCAGCTGATGCCCAGGGCCGCTGGACAGGCCAGCAAAATAGAGCCGCCTCTGCCCACCAAGCGCCTCATCCCTTGGGTTGCCCCCCACCCACTGGGGAAACGGGAGGGGCAAGCGGCTCATCCCGGAGGGGCTGCCAGGTGCTGATGGAGCTGCGCGTCTCCCCGGATCTCCCGCTGGTGGGGCAGTTTCTAGGGAGAAAGGATTAGATCCTAATGGGCACTGCTGAGTTCTGGGTCCGGAGCTGATGTTTCACAGGCATGCTGTGTGACCCTGGACAAATTGATCCACCTCTCTGGGCCTAGGAAAAGGGCTGGGCTATAGCTCTGCCCAGCTCTGAGAACCAGACGGCCCTCCCCCTGCAACAATTCATGGGACCTCCGCCTCTTTGTGTCTCGTGGCCGCCGTAACCAGTTAGCACAACCTGGATGGCTTAAAACATAAATTCATTCTCTCACAGTTTTGGAGGCCAGAGTCCAAAATCAAGGTATCAGCAGGGTCTGTTCCCTCTGGAGGCTTGAGGGAGAATCTCCTAGGCCTCTCTCCCAGGGGCCGTCGGCCGTGCTTCACGTCCTTGGCTTGTGGACGCATCCCTCTACTCTGCTCTGCCATCAGCCTTCTGTGTGTCTGACGTCCCCTCTTCTTATAAAGACGTTTGTCATTGGCTTTAGGGCCTACCTTTCTTTTTCCAAATAACTCCCCAGTTGCAAGTACCGAGGGTTGGGAGTTGGACATAGTTTTGGGGACACAGTTCCACTCACTTCAGGTGGTAACACATCCTAGGTGGGACGGACCCAGGCGTTTCATTACTTTTCTCCTCCCTGTTCCGCCCTTTGTCGAATGGAGGGAGGGAAAGGACAGGTGAAAATGGGCCACTTTGCTCTCTGTTCCTTGACTGAAAGGCCCGGGTAGAGAAGGAAGGAGAATGCACTGGGGCCCAGCCACAGCCCCCACCCTGGCTCTTTGAAACTGAGCAAGTGCCCCAACCCCCCAGGGCCTCAGTTTTCACCATCCATAAAGTGGGTACTGTGCCAAGATTTCAGTAAAGTGAGAGATTGTCCGGAGACCACTGGAGCTTTGCGGGGAGAATGCTCTAAGAAGCTGATAATGAAAACTGTAGGCAGTGAGCACGCCCCAGGCTGCTCATTTTACATGGATTACTGTTAAATCCACGCAGCGCCCTGTAGCTGTGTCTGTCCCTCCTCGGGCAGAAAACCTGCCCAGGCCCTCGAATCCGTGGGCCCACTTGCACTGGACTGGAGGGGGGCAGGCCCAGCGACCTTTCTCAGGTGCCTGCGTGGGTGCTGGCTGCCGGGTGCAGGGCGGGTGTTTCCTGTCCACACCCGTAGGCAGCCAGGCTTTACCCTGGGCGTGTCCTGTCCCGGCCCCTCCCCTTTCAGCTCCTCTCTTCCTGAAATCTTGCTGCTTAGGGACCTTTTTATGTTTGGGAGGGAGACCTTGGAAACCTGAAAGGGGCAGTGGGGGTCTGGGAGGGGCCAGGAGGGCGGCACAGCGGTTGGCACGCCTCTGCTGCCCCCTGGTGGTGAGCTCGGCCTGGCGGGCGCCAGTCGTGGAAACCGAGGAACTTGGGAAGCGAGCGGGGCTGGTTCTGTGGGTCCTGCTCGCCTGTCGTGTCCCGGTTCCTGCCGCATGCAGTGACCTGTGCGTTGTCAGGCCCCCGCGAAACAATAAGGGTGGCGGCGAGGGGGCAGTTCCCACAGCCCAGCGGCCTCTATGCGGACCCTGGGAAAACTTCTGTCCCGCCTTGGAGCCGTTGGCTCCTCTTGGCACCGGAGCTCCTGGGGGTGGGGCGGGGCCGGGCTCGGGAGGGGCGTCCAGTGACCCCTCTGCCTCCTCCCCTCAGTTGAGAACACCACGCACTGCGAGTTCGCATACCTGCGGGACCTCCTCATCAGGTGAGCCTCGGCGCCCACAGGACCCTAAATCCGGGCGTGGGGGTGGGTGATGGGCCTAAATCGCCGGCTGGGGGGCCCAAGCACAGTGGGGTTGGGGTGGGGAGGGCCAGGCCGAGCAGGGTGGGCACCCCGCCACCCGTTGCCCCCCTGTGCCCCAGGACGCACATGCAGAACATCAAGGACATCACCAGCAGCATCCACTTCGAGGCCTACCGCGTGAAGCGCCTGCACGAGAGCAACATGTCCAACGGTGTGGACGACAAGGAGCCGGGAGCCGAGGAGATGTAGATGCGCCGCTCCCGGGGCCCAGCCCCAGCCTCCCCGTGCCCCAGACCACCCATTGCCCCGTTTCATTTTATATCATTTCCTCCGTTCACCATCGTTCCCCCCCCTCCCCACGGTGCCCCCCGAGGACGAGATGACTAGTGCCCCTGAGTGTGATTGTTACTGGCTCCGCCATGGGGCCTGGAGTGGAGGCCGAGCTCTGGCCGTCCCTGAGGTCTGGAGGAGCTGGACCGCGGCCGGGAGGGCTGGGAGAGGACCCGCGGAATCGGTGCCGCCCCCGCCCCAGGCCCAGCTCTGGGGGCTGGAGGAGCAACCTCCTGCTCT